ACCTGTAATCCCAGCACTTTGGGAGGCTGAGGCAGGTGGATCACTTGAAGTCAGGAGTTCGAGACCATCCTGGTCAACGTGGTGAAACCCCATCTCTACTAAAAATTAAAAAAAAAAAAAATTAGCCAGGAATAGTGGCGTGCACCTATAATTCCAGTTACCGAGAGACTAAGGCAGGAGAATTGCTTGAACCAGGGAGGGGGAGGTTGCAGTGAGCCAAGATCAAATCACTGCACTCCAGCCTGGGCAACAGAGCAAGACCATCTCTCAAAAACAATTTTTTAATTAAATTAATGAACTATAGTTATCCAAGTTAATAAATAGCTTTTGTTTGTTTCACTAGGATCCCTCGCACATTCTGATCATTCAGCTTGTTATCGAGCTGAAGTCAGGAGCTGGTCTTGAACTCCTGACTGCAGTTGATCCACCGGCCTTGGCCTCCCAAAGTTCTAGGATTACAGGCATGAGGCACCCTGCCTACGGTTTCAAAGTAGTCAAGTAATTGCCATATTAGAGAAGCCATTTTCTGTATTCTGTGATAACAGCAAACATTTACTGAGCACTTATTTTGTGCAAGCAGGGCTCCAAGGTATAATAATAATAATACTTTAGGGCCTTAGATATTATAATCGGAGTTACTTTCCAGTTAAGGAAATTAGGACCCGAAGAGGTGAATAATTTAAGATCTTCTACGTGAGATGATCAATGACAAAGATGGGTACAGAACCCGCGTCCTAACTAAACGATCACATTCAGCTGGCTCGCTTTTAGCTCCTTGCATTTTCTTTTTGGTAGTTAACTTGTTTTCGTTAAGCCCTCAATTTAAAAAAAGAAAGAAAGAAAGAAATCTCTTAAGGCTCAAAGTCAAAACCTGTCAAAGGCCAAGTTCTTTATTTCCCTCCAGACTAGGACTGGCCATTTTGCATTTGAATTCAGGACGGCGGGAAGCAGCAAGCAGGTGTCAACAGAGGCGGGGAGGAGACGCCAGGCCCCGCCAACCAATCAGAGCGCGCGGAGGCTTCCCTTCCCCCTCCGCCGTCCCCGCGCCAAAATTCCAAACTGTCCACGCACCGCGCCCGCCGTCTCCCTCCGCCGAGCTCAGTGAGCTGGAACTATGTGAAGAAAAAGAAGTCGGCGTTGTCCCCTACTCTCCGCTCAAGTCCTAGATACTGTCGGCCCGTGTTCCTCTCCACGTCGGCCCGGCCTCCTTCGCTCTACAAATGGGAGGAGAGTTTCGAGCCCGCTGTTCTGTGGCGGCGGCGTGGGCGGGACAGACGGCGGAGGGATTCCGGACGCGCGCGCTGCGGCCGCTGGCGCGGAGCTTGTGGCGCCAGAATTCGGAGCGCGGAAGAGACCCAGCCGCGGCCGCTCTGAGCTGGAGCCCTTTTCGGCCGCGCACGCCGAGGCCGTCAGGGAGAGAAGATGGTGGTTCTCCGCAGCAGCTTGGAGCTGCACAACCACTCCGCCGCCTCGGCCACGGACTCCTTGGACCTGTCCAATGAGTTCCTCAGCCTGGAGCAGATCGGCCGGAGGCGGCTCCGCTCGGCCGGCGCGGCGCAGAAGCAGCCCGCGGTGACCGCAGCCAAGGCGGGTGTGAGTACCGGCCTGAGGCGGGCTCCCTGGGCGTTGCCCGGGGGGACTGCCCGCAGCCCGGCGCCCGGAGGGGTTTGAGGGTGGGCGGCGCTGGTCGGGGTGACAGTTGTCGGGGGAGGAGTGTGTTCGTGGACGAGTAAAATGGAAGCTGTTGGGATCGGAGCCCGACGGGGTGCGGGTCGGGTCGCAGAGCTGAGGCTGGCCGGGAGAGGACTAAGCATTTGGTCACCACCTACTTTTACGCAAGAGGAAATCGAAGCCGGCCTGAGTGTAGTGCGGTCTGGGGCCAAGCTGCGGCTGTTCGGCCGCCCCCACGACCCCCCTCCCTGACCGATCGATCGGCCAGGCTCCTGCCCTAGGTTAACATCTACCTGAAGGCAGCACACGCATCCTCTGACTGCTTTCGGTCTGCGCCAGGAACATTGGGGGGGGACACAGGGACGCACAGATTGTAATTAATTCAGGTTCTCTGACCTCCATTTAACGATTCAGAGGGGCTCCATAATAAAAGCGCAGTGAATAATACCAGGTTGCATAATGTGGAGGAATGAGGACCCACATTTCCTGAACCCCCACCCCCCAGGCCTCATCACAACCCTTTGAGAATGCATAGTTGTGAGATCTATTTGACAGATGAGAAACGGACTCAAAAAGGTAACCAGTAAGGAAGGGGTAGGTCTAAAATTGGAACTCAGATTGCTAGCCTCCCAAATCGTCCCCTTTCTATTCCGTCATGCTGCAGTTACAAACAGTGTCTATAGGGGAAGTTTGGAAGGGAGGAGGGTCCTCGTGAAACAAATGCAGCTTCTAGGTCTGAAGTACAGTTAGGGTTTTTGCAGGGCAGTTAGAGCTGAGCAGAATTACTCCCCTCTCATCCACCTCCCCTCCCCAGCTGCTGAAAGAGGTCTAGGTGGAGGGATTTCAGCATTCGGAAAAGGTCGAAGAAGTCGAGGAAGCATCGCTAGTGAAGTTAAGGCAGCAAGTAATATAGTTGGATTGAAGGTGTTGGAGTGAGTGAGTGAAGGTAGGCGGCATGGAGTAGGAAAGACAGGGTCGGAGAGAAGGTTGTGAACTTCAGAGTGAGAATGAGAGGCTCGGGGAACTGTGGTGAAAGTGACAATGTCATCTTCTTCTGTTTAGCAGACGATTTCAGGGTCTCGTTTTAAGTCTTCATTAAAATCTTGTATTTAGACCAGGCATCCCATTCTGGTTGCTCCTCTACTGAGGGGAATGGGTTAAAAACTATAGTCCTTCAGTCTCTGAAATTGTGATTCTGAATTGAAAAGACAAGTAATTTCCTGACTCAAGATTAGTTTCTCAATCATGTGCCAGGAATTGGCAGAGATCTGAAGAGACCAAACACTTCTGCGCTGAAATTGGTCGCTTGATTCACTAACCTGTGTTCAGAAAAGCTGTTTCGGTACTGACTGATTATGTCCGGGATAACCGTAGATCCCGTGAATATAATGATACTTAATGATATATTGAATACTGGCTAAAAAAAAAAAAAAATAGGCTCTTGTTTTTTTCTTCAAGATAAAGTTTTGCTCTCTCTCTCACCCAGGCTGGAGTGCATTGGCACGATCTTGGCTCACTGCAGCCTCCATCTCCCGGGTTCAAGCAGTTCTTCTGCCTCAGCCTCCCAAAGTGCTGGGATTTCAGATGTGAGCCACCCCACCTAGCCAAATACATAGGGTCTTAAGAATATTGTTAATTTCGAATTTCAATTTCAGCTTCTCAGGTTTACCAGTAATCAGCAGGTTTCTATACTTGTTAAATGGGGTGATACCCACCTGGTGTGAGGATTAAATGTGGTCATACATGTAGGGAGATTAATTGAACAGTTAGCATATAGTTGGGACTCAGTCATTGTCAGCTATTGAGACCATCATCAGTTTTAGTTAACAGTCACTTTTTTTTTTTTTTTTTTTTTTTTTTTTTTTTTTTTTTTTTTTTTT